CTTGAGCCAGAAAATGAGAGCGGGAAGCATATAAAATTGTAAAGTGAGTAAGTAAGTAAATGTTTATTTTGTTTTCAGTTATATAAAATAAGTGGGCCTCTCCAGTCTTAGTCCACCATTTTCAAGTCTGCATTGAAGCCAGGATTGACATGCGTAGAACTCACATGACCTAAGTATTTATTTGACTCTTAAATATGTGGATTCCTTCACACTACAGTGGCAAGCCTCATTTAGCCTGTCAGTTGACCTCTGCCTCATTCCTTTGGCAGGCTTTCAGTTTTATTAACCACAGAAGCAACCATAATGCCAAGTTTAAAATAAACTCTTACCACACATGTGACCATTTATTGTTCCTTTTTAAATAGTTGTGGTAAGTAAATCCATGGCATAGGGCAAGACTGAGGGAAGGCCCAAGACAGCCCATTCATATTTGGAGTGGAACAGTCCATAATCCTGGCTGTGGTTGTTTCTTTTGTGTGCTTGGCTGACCTTGAGTTCATTTAGCTTAAGAGACTTTGTTGGAAACTGAACTTAATCCAATCCAACCTGATTCTACCATATAATACTGTACTGCCACTCCGCAGCTAATATTCAGGAAGAACCACTAATTCCTTTGTTTCCAATGCTGTAAGATTCCAAACAGCATGTTGCTTTGCCACAAAAAATGTGGGTAGCAGGTTCATGGATTCAAAATGGACAAACCCGCAAATGCAATAGAAGCTGAGATGATTTTTTGGACAAAATAGACTGAAAGAATAACTTTAACTGCAAAGTTTAATTTACAGGACATATTCACAGATAAAGCAAAAACCAAGAAACAGCAACATTCAATAGAGGAATGTGAATACAGAACAGAAACTCATGTTCTTTCAGCTGTCAGGAGCCCCGTCCTTATCACAGACGATGCTGAATGTTCCTCTGATTATGCTGGCTAGTGCACAGCATATTTCCTGGGCAAGCCTGTGTTGAAGCTCATCCTTGTACTTCTAAAAGTCTTTGATTGTTTATACCTCTTGTCTGTTGGTTATCAATAGTTTATGTAAGACAGTGGTAGCTCATACCTCAAACCCTCCCTGCCAGAAGTGGCTGGCCCTGGAGTTAGCAAAGCTTTTCTAAAAGGAAGAGATATCCCTCTTGAGCCAGGCTACATCAGAAATGAGAAACAGCTGGAGGCAGGGGGATTGAAGGGGGAAGATCATAAGCTCACTTTTAAAAATCTGAGGCCTTACCAAGCCATGAGATACCCAAGAATACAGAAAAGAGGCTATTTTATACAGGAAAGCAGAGAGGAAATTGGGCACATTGTTTATTTCTCTTCACCCTTACAATAAACTATCACAATAGCACTACAAACATAGAGCTCATTTGCTGCATTCTGGATCTGATGAAGCTTCCAAGCGGTCTTTAAAGTTAGCCTCATATACGACATGTCACAGAAATCAAGCCGTGAGGTGACTAGGGCAAATGTGACTGTTGGAAGGGCCTCCTAATCTAGAAAAGGCACAACTGGCACACCAGATGAAGCTGTGCAAAGGCTTTCCTGGCCACAGCTGCCACTTGCTCATCAGGCAAGAGTTAAAAGTCCAGGAAGGCCCCCAGATTGCACACAGCTCTTGAACGGAGAATTGCTACCCTACCCAAGGTTAAAGATAGAATAACCCCAGACCTAAGTGGCCCTCACATCCATAGTACTCAAATCTGGTAAGTTTGAATTGGAGATGGTTCCTCCACATCCACAAATTGGATTGAAATTATTAATACATGTTATGCTTTGTAATCAAGTATAAACTTTGAATGATATAATTGGAGTAAACATATTTTGGGTTTTCTGGGTTTGTATGGTATGCTGTAGATTTGAAAATGATTATTTTTGGAAGATTTGTAATGTGTTATCTCTCTCCTCCCAGCTTCAATGCTGTGGAAAAGACAGTGACGCTCAAGTCAAGCCCACCTGTCCAAAAGACCTTGAGTCGCCCAAAGTAAGTGACTCTAACTGTCATGTCATTCTGACAGCAAAGCCAAAAATAGCCTAGGAATGGGGTGAGACATGGTGGGAATATCGTGTCTGGACCCAGATGAGATGGTCTGGACAGGAGCCATTTGGCACCAAAATAGGATGCCAGTAGGATGACTTTAAAGCAATTTGTTTGCTTTGCAAATTATATACACGTTCATATATCTGAACAAGACTGCAAAATAAAGTAAGCAGTATTTATTGCAGCCAGCTTGCTTCCTCTGCCCTTCCTAGTTGTGTGCAACCTCCCAGGATATCAGAACTGGTCATTACAATTTCCTGGTTTTCAACGAATGAAAAATCTCAGCAGAATTTTTTTTTTTAATCTACTTTTCATGCCAATGAAACTTTGCTTCCATAGTGAGTACCAGTGTCTGTGAGTGATCTTCATCAAGATCATAAAGCAGAAGAGAAGGTTAAAGTCCACAGTACAATCATGTCCATAGTTTGCTGTTTAATTTTTTAAAAAAAGAAATGAATTACGTACATTCTATTGTTGGCTGACGTATAGGTTAATACAAACCATGTATATGTGAGGATGCCTAGATTATGCATGCAGCTTGCAGTATATACAGACCATGTTGGTTTCCTCACCCTTATTAAATGGCTTCTTGAGAGAGTTGGCTTAGTCTGATCTGTGTTCTTGAGCCACAGCTTCTGGCTGTCTTCCTCTTTAGAGGCCACTTAGAGCTGGGGCCAAATAGAATTAGATAGCAGACCTAACCAATTTTGGATACAGTACCTGAACTTTCATAGCCAGTTCAAACAAGATAAACCAGACAAACACATAGTTGACAGTCTAATTTTATTTTCAATGAAAATAAGTTACGTGAATGTCATGGATAATGTGTGCCATATAGTTCAGTTCCTTTTCACTGATCTTCCTGTTTGCAGAAATAGCTCATGCATGCATGCCTCACCACTACGTGATACAGTGCAATTCTCTAGTCCAGTATTTTTATTCATACACAAATTGCGTATAGACCTGGAAGATCTCACTTGTATGACTTGGAGAGGCAGAAGCTGTAGCAGGGAAGGAAGAGAATGAAGTCACAGGCATCTGCAGCGGAGGCAAATGAGGAAGCTTGCATCCAATACCTAAGGGGCACAGCTTGCATCCTGACATTGTGACACTTGTACCATCCCAATGAAACCGTCGTATTCTGCAGATGCCAATGTATATAACCGTCTCAATGAACTAAGGCTGTTTTGCTATATAGATAAGAGGGAACAGCAGCAAAGTTAAGAAAGGCCACTTTGTTGTTAATCAATTAAAAAAAAAAAATTATTAAAGATTTTCACAAAAGTAAAAAAAAGTGAAATAATAAACAGTAAGATTAAAGAGTAAACAGTAAAAAAAAAAAGATACAAAAAGTGTGAAAATACAAATAGAAAAGATACATAAAGAAGCGATGTCCGATCTTCTTTACAGCAGTTACAAACAAACTTAGTCTCTTTCCTCCCTCATTAAAATTACATAATTCCCTTCTTTCCATTTTCAGCAAAAAGTCTGAGGTTTCCAGTCTTTAATAAAAGAACTCATTGTCTTATCACTGATCAAACAGGTCAATTTTGCCATTTCCCCAAATTCCATCATCTTCACAATCCCCTCCTCCATTGTCAGTATTTCAGTATTTTTCCATCTTTGTACATAATGTTGTCAATCCTTTTTCATTGGGGAAAAAAATCCTTGCATTAAATCAGCTTTTGAATATAATTTTCACAAACTGAATTGATTTAAATGGAGGGTATATAATTTAAATGAAATTATATATGGCATGAGGGCCAAGTGTTTCTATAGTAGGAGAGGGACATGAGATCTTGATTGGACAAAACTGCCAAATACTTAAGATACTACACAAGTTCAAGTGTTTTGCAGTTGTGTTTTGGGAAGCCTGCATCTTTCAAATGAATCCCACCTCATATATTTGGCAGCTCAGGGTTTGCATTCCAGCTACAGCAAAAGCAACAAAAGGAAGAATGGAGCAGAGGATACAGCCAGAGACAGTGTTGGCTGTTCCGGGGGCACTGCTGAAGTTATTATTCTTAGCATAACACAGAAGAAACTGGGGTAGGAAGTATGTTCCAGCATCGCTTAGAACCAGAGAAAGGAGCTGCAAAGAGGAAAAGGTGGTAACAAGGTGCTGGATAAAAACGTATCTGCCCCAGGTAGAGATGGTTGTGAGAATTCATACTTAGTAGATTTAGGAAAGGATTGAAGACTTTAATGTCTTTCATGTCTTTAACAGAACTGTCTGACTGAAATAGAGACTCTTGTTAATTTCAATCTTCATTTACTTGGCATTGTTGGGATTGGAATTGCTGGAATCACAGTAAGTAATTCTCTGATTGCATTGACTATTGTCGTCATCATCATCAATGTATTTACACAAACGTGAAATCTTTCCAAGCCATTGAGATTATAGCAGGTGGCTAAAGAGAACTAAGAATCACTTTAAGCGTCCCTTGCATGGACCTCAGATGGCTCAACACATTGCTATTTAGCAAAGTCTTCTCTAGGACAGTATTTCTCAGCCTCAGCAACATTAAGATGTGTGGACTTCAACTGGCATGCTGGCTGGGGGAATTCTGGGAGCTGAAGTCCACACATCTTAAAGTTGCCAAGGTTGAGAAACACTGCTCTAGAAGTGATGCAAGATATTCAGTGAGCCAACTGTAGTCACAATCCTGCTCCTTCTCTGTAAATGGCAGTGGTTGTTCGTTTTAGAAAAAAAACCATGCATGTTAATTGCTCCCATGCAACCAAGAGCAGAATCTTGGATATGTGAGGATTTCCTTCAAACTGTAATCTTCCATATACTGCTTCATTACATTACATAGTAAGATTCTGGGATAGGGGCATTAGATCAGGAATCAAAGCAAAGTCCAGATGGAGTTTTATGTACCACTCAGAATAATTCAGCATGGGCCTGGCTGGGGGCATAATATAAATAACAGGAATAAAATAAGAATAAACAGGAATAAAATAGAATCAGGTAGATACAGTATCTGGGTATTCCACATTTTTTTCTGAAAAGTAGGGGAAAAAACTTACAAAAAACTTGTACCATCCTACTGTGATCTTGAAGAAGATGGCTAGTGAACATCTTCTGTTCTGTCCTGAGAACAACCACTCAAATTCTCTGAAAGGTTACCCATAGCGGCAAATGGTGCATTCTTTAAAATAATGCTCTCATCTTCCAGATCTTTGGCATGGTCTTCAGCATGGTCCTTTGCTGTGCAATCCGAAACACAAGAGACATGCTTTAGAACTCCTCCTGCATCACGTTATTTTCAACCCAGGACTGAAACAAAGGCTTCAACACAGTTCTGAAGAAGTGCTTGCCCACTCAGCTTAACAATTGTAATCCATTTTTAATTAGAGTGTTAATCAACTGACAGAAAAAGGGGATGTTTGGTGAGTTCAAGAGTTTCCTGTGGTTGCATTTAAAAGTTTAAAACAATTCTGAGGTGAGCAAGTAGGATAGGCTAACAATGCCTTTTTCAAGGCCAACAGTGACATCTAAAACTAAAATTTATTTGAAGTATGACTTTGCACAGGTATGGAAGAATAGGTCCTGTATCTCTGTATTCAAGAATGTCTGCTTGTTTTGGTGCAGATGCACATATACTGTAGTTGTATATACAGTTCCCTTGACCATATGTATGTTTTGTGAGTGTCTATATCTGCATGCATATTTCTGCAATATATATATTATGCACGCACATACACACACTTGGGTGCGTATCCAGGTTAAAGGTTTTTCAAAATGGGGTTCTCTTTACTGATCATTTTTGGAGAAGCAAATTCCTCTAGGAAAATGATATTGAAAAGTAAATATCTCGTCCTATCTTCATTCAGTCTTTTGGAATGTCTCATTTTAAAAAAACTATATTTAAAAAAATGTGTTTTGCTCCTAGCCAGCTGTCCCCTTGGAAGATTCTATCTGTCTGTCTGTGTTCTATTTATATATTTATTTATATGCAGAATGGTTTATATGATAGAGATTGATAGGGAGCTCTCTGGGCTTTTTAAAGAAAAGCAGAGCAAAGACCAAGAGGTAGTATCAAACCAGCAGAGATCAGTTAAAGCTATAGGTTCAATATAAAGTTTTATCGGGGCTGAGGCATCCTGTGGTAGTCATGTTTTTAAATAGGGTTAAAACATGCACAGGTCATCCTTGATGAGGAACTTAATTCCACTCAAAAAACTGTTTCTTGCTTGGGTTTTTTTTCCAAATGCTATCTTTTAGCATCAATCTAATATTGTCCTAATTATTTTTAATCTGGGCCCCAAAAATTGCTTCAGCATAATCTAAAACTGATGCCCAAACTATTTTATACAGTTACTATGATGAACACTCAATCCCCAAATGCACACCATATCCTCTCATGCCATTGTAGCATATCCCTTGAAGTATGTTGATGCAAAAGCAATACCTGTTCACTGGGACTTACTCTCTCATTGGTGCACTTAGGACTGCAGCTTAATTATTTGCTGCAGAGATCATAATAATATTCTGCTGTTTGCAACCTTTTATACATTCCAGCAATTGCATGCTGACTTCACACAATGGAGGAGTACATACCTAATATAGAAATAATATTTATTATTTTCATGTTCCAGTCAAAGTTAACCATGTGCTTCATTCTTTCATTGAAATCAATACTTGTCAAAATTTCTTAACTTTAGGTAAAACTTAACTCAATCTGTGTATGCATATATGCATATTTTTTTAAAATGTTCTTGAAATAATGTGCCCATCCACAAATAAGCAAGGCAGCTATGCTGCGTTTTGAAGTTCAAATCAAACTTTAAAAGCATGAGACGAGCGCTTCAGAATAGGATTATGTGTATAGGAGCACACAGCCCCTAAAGACCATGAACAAATGTTCAGCATTACATTTAAAGATAAGGAGGAAGGGTAGTTGTCATTAATGTCAAGAACAATAACCAGTGATTGTGACAGTTGTGCAACCATTTCATACACAGAATTCATACTAAGCTTCACTGTAGATGTTTGAACTGTGTGCAGCAATATATTTGTTTGGGAAGGAGCAGAAAGATTAGACTGAAAGATGAGAAGCTCTACTTGTTTAAAGTTGCCCTACATCCTGTAGCTGAGAATGTGGTGTCAGCCAAACTAACCTTCAGAATTCAATGCAGTTTGAAAGTCAATTTCGGACTGTTTACCTTTTGCTTTATCTTTGTTCTCGGACCACTAGAAGTCAATGCAGACACGTAGTGCTCAAAGAGAAGCTATTTGTTCTGCTAGAAATTTGTTCCTGCCAGAAAGCGCATGCCAAAACCAGAGGGTTCAAAATTAAGACCCTGCCCTGGTGTTCTGGCTACAGAACTTCAGTTAAAGCATTGAGAGGTGGGCAGATGTACTTTACTACAGTCTGTTTTTGTTTATTGTCTCTGAAAATCAAATTACTGCATGTTATTTTAACTACATCAAGCTATTATCTAGTCATGGCTTAGCTGTCTAAAACTGGATAAATGTAGAAATGATCAATATTCTTAAAATACCTCAGGGGAGAGTTTACAGCTTATAACTGTGCTTTGTATTGTTTATATTTATTTCTACTAAGTTGTGTATTGAAAAATAACCTGGCAGAATTAATTTAGCTAGCCAGAGGAAAATCACTGTGGTGCAGTTTTAATATATTACAATCAATGGGGTTTACCACTTACTTGAATGGGAAGTGCATTGTGGGAACTTTTAAATACCTGGCCCATTTTCTGACAAGCTATAGTTTTAGGAATTAGAACTCAAGCAATTATTCAGTCTTTCTGTCTCTTTTTATTCAGTAGTTTTATTTTCTTTTAAACAGAAATAGGCTATCTAAAAAAAGTTAGGAAATTTTCAAATGTTAATTTAAAAAACTGTCTTAATTATGTGCTCCATGCACATTTTTCATCAAAATATATTCAAAACGTATGATTTCAGGGGAAGCCTGTCTTATCAGGGCCTTCATTTGAAGTTCAGTGTGCACTCAAGTGTGTGTATGTATATGTATATGAGAGAGAGAAAGGGAGAGAGAGAGAAGCCCCAAGTTACATGAGTTATTCCCTTTTTTCTCTCAAACATATATTATGTGTATACCCCATCTCTCCAACAAATTTCAGTTGACTGTTTCTACTACTTGGCCCAGGTAAAATATTTGGACCCATTAGAACATAGCTGAAGTGATAGGGAATATAGCTAAGGAAATGTATCAAATGCACAATTCACCTACCTGTGCTAGAGGCCCATTGGGTGCTGGCAGCTCCTGAAGTTCAGGTGAGGGCCTCATCATGGAGAAGACATCACTAGAAATCCGAGTACCTAAGTGGTCTACCATGTTATTTGGGAAGCAGTTTCATCAGCTCTGCAAGTAGTTCTTGCCAGGAATTTGCAGTTTAACAGAAACAGAAATAAAGATGTAGTCACCTTTATTTTAAAAAATGTCATTGGTATGAACTATCATAATATTGCGACTCTGGACTTAAAGAGGAATTTCTGCTAATTTTCTGTTTTGAAAACGATGTCTTCTTGGAATTTCTATTCCAGAGGAAAAAGAAGATGGAAGGACTTAGAACGGAACCTGCTTTAATGATTTCCCCATATTTGTTAGTTTTTCTTTTTAAATAATATCTCCTTAAGAATAGACTATCTCTTCCATTATAATGCTAGCCATTCTCAAATGAGACCAGAAGCAATTTAAAAATGGAAACAGCAGGATGTGAAATAGACATTAGAAAAATCAGTAATTTCTGAGTCTTTGTAGAGATCAGCCTGTCCTATTGTCCTCAGCTCTGGTTTGTTCCCTGTCTTTTGCATTTGTCATCCTGTGTTTCATGCAGACTCAGGGCTCATTCAGCTAGATCACACATAAGCATATGGCAATGCTGTTGCGCTGCTTCCCTATTCTGTATTCCAGCTTTTCAGAGTACTTCGTGAAGCTGCTTCATGTCAGTCCATGTAACTGGCAGAGACTAGTATCGATAAGTTTGGGAAAATCTTTGGGAAAGACTGGAAAATCTTCTGTGTTCCAAGTTTTCCCAATCAGGAGCAGAAGACAAATCCTGCTTAACTTGTGCTCCTGCTTTCTCATTTTTATTGTTTTTCTCTCCTTATCTGGGTTGTAGAAGAAACAGGTGAGCTGTATTATGTAAATAATAGGTTGAAAGGAGAGCTCTATTTTACTTCATTCTGGTAGTTGCATTTTTATGCTGGAAAAGGACACCAACTCCCTGTGCTAGCCCAAAAATGATAATATCAAACAAGTACCAGGCCAGAAATGGTTCCAAACTGTCTGCTGATCGCCATTTGCGATTTTTATGAAATGGCTGTCCTTTGCAGACCTCGGATCTCCTTGCTGAACAACACTAATAAATAAATTGTGGCTTTAACACCAGGATGAAGGGTGGGTGGGAGGATATGGTAGCTATGAAGATGGATTGGAAGATGCACACACTGTCTGGTCCTGGAAAAGCAGAGCAGCAGAGCCATACATCTATACATCTATGCCATTGCTTTTTAAAAATTTTGTATTGGAGGGCTGGCAACTTTTTGCTGTTGCCTTCTTGCTATTGGAAAAACCTATTGGAAGTCTTGCTTCCAAAATGTTATCTACTATTGCTTGGCTGCTTCTTTATCTTTAAGTGCCTTTTGGGGAACAGGGCAGAATGCCAGTTCTGTAAGTAGAGCTTTGAAATTAAAATCAGACGTGAAGATTATTCATTTTTAGTGAGTTCCTATTTCCTTGCATCCCACTGTATTTATTTTTATGAATGTAATCGTTACACCTGTCCTAAGGTCATCTGCTCCTTAAAAATAATAAAAGAATGTGTGTTTGAAATGCAGGTCGGAATTAAATATATTGATGATGTGTACAAAAACTTACCAGTGCCTTTAAGAACACCACAGCTCTATCCTCCTGATCTCAGCATTTCCAGTGTCATTTTGGTGGGGAGTCCCTTGCACTGAATTATATCTCAGGAACATTGTACCTTGAATGTTGGACAGGATTAATTCTTGGACTACATTTTTCTATAGTATGTAAATTATATATGTATACTATTGGCATACACATTTTCTGAGTTGATTCACTGAGAGGACCAAGTCAGACATGCTGAGAATGGCCCAAAGCTTGCCCCCAAATCCATGAGAACCAGCCCACAGCTTCTCTTTCATGTTCACTGAATCAGCAATTATGTGATACTTAGTATGAGATGTTCCTGATGATACACTGCAGGGATACATGGGTGACATTTTGATGTTTGTGAGGTATACGCTCTTTGAATTGTGCTATTGCCTCATTGACTGAAATTTGACATCCTCACTTAATTTCTCAACTGTGTTAAGGAATGCAGCCTTTCTTAATACTAACAAATTATCATTATGAAGATACTAGAGGCAGCAGTTTTAGAAAGATGTGGAGGCTGTAGGGTGAGATTCTCCCAAAAGCCTTCAGGAAGAAACAGCACTTATTAAAACACACAGAGATATATGGGCTACCTCAGCACTATGACACTGCAAACTTGTAAAGCAGTGCCTTATTATAGGAGAAGGAGCAAATAAATTGAGGAGCCTTTAAAAAGCACTTATTAAACCTTATTTTGAAGAGCAGCTTCTCCTAGTTTTGTCCTTTGGAAAGCCATGGGCACATTATGCATCTAATAGATGCTCTGTCCTGCTTAATACAAATTCTCAGTAACCATGGGGATGATTATACTGAGTTCCAGACCCTTCACTGTCTTTCGGGAGTAGTGCATTGTATCTGCTGGAGAACTGGGCTTCGTTCTTCCCAGGAAATCTGCATGGATCAAGCAAGACCAGAAAGATACAGCATCCAAAAATAGCTGTATGCTTACTTTGCAGATTCCCTTTGTGGAATCCATTCTTTTATTTAAGAATACATTACTGTCTATTGCAGTAGTTGTACATAACTAGTATTTTCACCCCTTGAAATGTGTATTTTAGAGTTTGTGCAAAAGACTTCATTAATTCTTCAAATGTTGATAAAAATGTAAATATAGTACTCCTTTCCAATGTTTCTGCTATCTAGCAGCACGATGGATCAAGCTGTTTTCATGGGGAATTAAGTAACTTTCCCATGTAGTCATTGTGTAAATGTTATTAGCAGTTGATGTTATTGAAACATATTTAGTTTGGTCTGTTTTCTTAATGCATTTTTATCATTGTTTCTCTACTGAAGTTGATGCAAAAGTCTAATAAAAATAATTTGAAATAAATGTAACGGCAGGGGTTTTTTGTTAGCTAACTTTATAAGATGTATTGCATGTACCAGTTTCCTTTCTCAGATATACTCATTGTGTTTTGCAATAAAAGATAATGTTTTGGGGATGAAAGAAGACTGTGCTAAGACATGTTATGGTAGAGCACATATGTTATAGTAGATATCACAGAGCTGTGCAAGATCCCCACATGCATTTCATTTTTTATTCTGAGTTTCATTTTGATTGCTCTCCTGTAAATTCAAAACGATAGCAAACTGATTGTTTTTCCTCACAGTATTTGGGCAACATTGTTTTAGACTAGTTAAGGTGTAGGTGTCCTACATTTGTTTATTCTTTCAACATAAATTACTACATAGTTTTGCTTACCCATTTTCTTAAGAAAACTGTGGCACAATTTCCCCTCAAATATTGCAGCACTAATTATTTAAGAAGTCAAGCAGGCTGCCTCTTTTTCAAATGAGTGGTTTGTCAACATACATTATACTATGAAATAGCAAAAATCTATAGAGGCCAAAATAAAAACACACTTAGTTATAATCAACTAAAAAGAGTTTAAAAAAGAGAAGACATGAACTAATTGCACAAGTGCCCATGGTTTCTTCCTACCGATCTCTGTAGAATTCAAATACGTAACAGATGCATACAATTGTAGCTGGGATGTTTAATTCAACCATGGAAATAAACTTGCACATAGACACTTCTCTAGGTTTTCAAGAAGACTAGCCATCATTTTTCACGCATACTATGTTCAAAGAGCTTTATAACGTTTTAGAAATTACAGCCTTTTTGGTATCAACCTGTCCACTATTAAGATCAGCAACAAAGGTCCTTTTTTCTTGCCTTGCTTACAAGATGACAGCAAAATTGTACAGAAAATTCTGTTTGTTGCCATCTACCTTTAAGAACTCCTAGGTTGATCAAAAGAAGACAACAAAGCTTTTCTATAACTCTATTCCTATGGAATGCCTTGCTAAATGGAGCTTGATAGATTCCCAAATGCTAGTTTTAAGGAACCCCTAAACATTATATCCAGATTTCCTTGAATGTGTATCCTATTCCAGAGTTCACAGTGGAACAAGAGTGGAACAATAATCACACAATCCAGGGTCAAAAACTAGCATAGACTAGTTGAGTACATCAGGCATTGATGAAAACTAGTTGCTGAAATTGGGCTATTTGAAATTAATAACCTACTTGAGTATATCAGATGGACCTTTAATCTTCTAAGTCAGTTTCTGCTCTTTCCTCATCTGAGGCTATCATATATCTCCTTGCTCTGCCTAGGCTTTTTTGGTTCGAAGACAAATGTTAATATATGGGGTAGATACTTTTTAACTTTTATAGTGTTTTGGTTTAATATTGGCTTCACTTTTTATGAATACATAAAAATAAAGCCACATTCAGAGGATTTTTTTTCCTTAGAGGTTGTGATATATTACAAAAATTATAATGTATAATGCAAAGATGGTACATTTTGTCATTAAACATCTTGGATGATTATTTGGAGAGGGAACCTTGTTTAATTCTTTCCCACTGTTATTTCATATACTTTCTTTCATTTTACATCTGTGTATATTTTCCTGTTTCCAGACTGAAACTATGTCTGAAAATGAGAGATAATACAACTATTAAAGCAGGGGGACACAACCATTTTGGCTGGGGAGCTTACTTCTACTTCTCTGCCCCACTGGGCATAACCAGTGCCATTATGAAATCACTGGAGCAGGCAGGAACAGTGATTTCCATTTGGAGGGATGGGTTTAAAGGATGTACTTTAAGCTTTGCTAATTGTTAGCTTTGCCAATTGTGGAAGGCTCTGCAGGTTATAAATGGGATTCTGGGGCAGCAGGTTACCCATTCCAGTTAAAGCCAGAGGATCCCTACTAGGAAGGAAACAGTAGCATTCCTCTCAAGAACAGAAAATCATAGTAAGATGCTTCTTTCATTCCTTGTGTGATCGGAGCCAAGTATCCAATAACGTTGAATGGAGTTTTGAGTGTTCCAAGATATCTGGCCTTCAGCTGGTATAACACGGAGAATGCAACTGCCTGTGCTACAAACCAAGTTCTCTAAAGTTTCATACTTCTTTTCTTGGGGACCCCCCCCCCCCCGGCTTCCTGTTCTGCTAAGATTCAGCAGAGATCGATTCTAAATTAAGAGATGGTACAATTTAGTTTGGTGGTGCCAGGCAGGCATAACCATATAACACTTCACATTTCTAGGTGGTTACAGATAGTAGTATCTTGTTGAAGAAAGCAGCAGAAAATTTGTAAGTGCAAATTATATTTGGTGGAATATCAACAAAAAATAAAAAGCAGAAAAATGTATAATTCAAACATACATTCTGGTCAACATATCAAGCATTTTTCACACAGGTAAATTTAAAACATGATTCATTTATATGTTAAGTTTATATCCCATTTCTCCTACAGGAGCTGAAGGTGGCATATATAGCTCTCCCTCCTCCTATTTTTCCCCACAATAGTAATCCTATGAAGTAGGCTGGCCTGAGAGACAGTGATAGGCCCAAAATCATCCAGTGAGTTTCTGCACCTGAGGGTGAACTTGAATCAGGCTCTCCTAATGCAACACCATAACCATCACAGCACACAACACTACACCACCAAATCAATACAATATATAGTGTACATATGTGCAATGAATATTTTACATAAAAATCACCTTGGCTGTTTCCCCCCCTTAATGCCACATCAAATCATATATCAACATAAATAGTGAAAAAGACTCAAAGGACCATATATAATAACCCACATAATTTTCATTAATTCTCATCCATGTAGGTAATTTTAACAATATTGTAAAACTCAAAGAGGACCACAAATGCAGCTTGCTAAAACCACTGTTTTGGCTCTGAGCCCAGGACAGCTGGTCAAGAATAGTTACTGGATCAAGCTTTTTCCCATAGTGAAAAGCTGGACTTTTAAATAGGCTCTGGACTAAACCATAATATTCTGAGATTGAGCCATTCATTATTTGGCAAGTAGTGGCAGCGGCAAAGATCAGATGTGTTTGCAAGCACCAAGTTGGAAAAATTTCCAACAGCTCAGCAGAATTTCAAAAAAAAACAGTAACCTCTTGAAATAGCAAGGCTGATAGTTCTGGGGTAATTTCCTTGGTTGGTTACAAGTCTTTTATTTAACTTACTTTATTCATTTATGGATGTATGTATGGATGTATTTATTTATTTAAGCCCAGTCTGCACAGCAAAGTCTATAACCACGTGGTGGCTTCTGTATATGCAGGTGTTGGGAGGGGGAATTTAAACATCTACATCACACCTGCCAATCTCCACAAATAGGGTGTGATGACTTGGGAAGGAGACAACTTCTTCTATATTACTACTGTTTTTCCACCCAGTGATAGAAAATGAGCTGTTATTCAGGCTGAATCCCCACTAGGACTTTTGGCATCACTGAGGCAATATAAACCACAAAGTCTATGCCTCACAATGAGGACGTTGAACATAATAAATATTCCAAAATCTATGTGGTCAACGCTTTTTGATTTGTCAATAAAATTATGAAATCTTACAATAAAATTACCACCTTATGATGGAAAATAAGAGTTTGCAGACATTCAATCTCTCACAATGAGGAAACATTGAACATGATAAAAATTCTAAAAGCAATGTGAAGTCAATGTTTTTATTAGACTAATTCAGTTGTTGTATAGCTGATCTTTCTATAAAGTTATGAAATATGGAAAATGGGAGATTTCATTCAAACAGGCTTGTTCTGATCCTAAGATGATCCCTGGAAAGACAATTGAAGTGAAGAAACAAATGAGATGGTTCCCCATTTTTGAAAATATAAAATCCAAATATTAATCAAATCTGTCTCTTAAGCAAAAACATAAAGGCTGTCCCAGCTGCTGTCCAGAAACATCACAGCACCAGGTAAGTCTATGCAGATTTTATGACTTCAATATTATCAGACTTCCCTCCCATCAGGCCTCCCCCCCACACACACACACACACACCCAGCAAGCCATTCACAATCTCAAAAGGGGACTGATTTTTGTGAACTTCAAACCGAATAAAGGTTCAAAATCCACCTTTATGATTGCTGAGTCAATCGATTACTCTTCAGGGCTCAAACTTTCATCGGGCCCAGCGAAATGGGTAGTGACCCAGGATCATGAAATTTGTGGTCTTATATAGGGAGTACCCAGTTGCCCATACTTGCATGCCACTGCCTCCAACTCTGTGAAGCAGAAATAGAGGGACGGCCGGTGTAAGAGGAAAAACCCGAAAAGAGAGCTATGCAATGCACCACCGTGTACTTGTCTACATGGAAGAAAAACCCCTTAACTGTGTACAGAGCTTTACTCTTAGATAAATATGAGATTGCTTGCACATGAAACTGCCGGGCGGAGAACGAAGGGGAAAAAAACCACCACGCAGCGAACAGGCTGGAGCACTGAGATGACCGTGGGGTTTACACACAAAAGGATTTAAACAAAAGTGAAGTCTGTAAGCAATCTGTTTTTGCGATAAAGCAGCCCGACGTGATTGCCAAAAAGACGCTCAAAGGAATTTGCGCGCGGAAAAGGCAGGAGGAGGTAGAGGCGAGCCGAAATTACATCGCCTTGTTATTGGAGGAGCTGTAATTGCCGTGGCCAATCACGGCACGCCTTTGGTAGGGGAAGAGAAGCCACTGGACATCGCGGGGCGGGAACCTTTTCAATCGCGTGGCCGAAAAGAGATCTAGCGCGGCAGCCGGTGAGTAAATGGGCACGAGAAGGGGAGGGAATCGTTGGCAGTTATTTGACCTGAGGAGACCGAGCTGGAATGGGGTCTCCTTTTTCAGAGGCGCCTTTACGATCACATTTCATTTCCATTACGGGTTTTTTTCCTCACAACCCCCCCCCCCCCCCGACGCTGGCATACAAAGAAAATCGTATTTAGGGGCACGAGCGGCTTCTTGAATTAGAGGAGCCGAGGGATTTTTTTTTACAAGTGGGACGAGGCTTTTCTTAAAACGTACCAAAATAGGCTTGTTACGCTGGGAAAGTTGCACTTTTTAAATTCTGTATCTGTCATTCAGCTACGAAATAGATGCCCAAATAAAGAAAGTATTTTGGTGGCGGAGAGCAGTCTCTGTGAAGGAACTGTGCAAATAATCCGCATTGGCCGCAGTTCGGGAAATTGCATTTTTCCAAGGGATTGACAGTAACAAGAGGGAAAAAAAATCCATCAGTTTATTTTGTCATTTGGAAATATAGCAGATTAGTGTCAGCTGCCATTTGCAGGTTGTATGTTCTAATGCTGGGTGTATTTTTCCTCCCGTTTCCTTTTATTTAGAATATATTTACCTCCCCTTCAGCCAGCAAGGCTTTCAGAACTGTTTGCAGGGAAGGAGTAACTACTAGTATAACAGCAGAGCAAGGTAATCTTAACAGTGAAGCAGCATTTCAACCACACTCAAAAACTGCAGGATTTTCTTTGGATCAAAAGGACTCCCTCTCAGGGAAGTCTTTATTGCAGCCTAATTAATTTTGCAGTCCAGCAGAAAACATAACATAAAGTTGTCAACTGCTGCAGCAAATAAAATAAAATGCCAAAATAAATTTTCCTGCTGTGGTAGTCCTATGATAGGGAATGTTTTGCCAGGTATACAACATTTCAGATCTGCCAGGAAAAAGATGGAAATAAAAGAATAGTATGCTGGGTGTGTGGATTTAAATTACTTGACACATTTCCACATGCAGGGTGGGTAAACTGAAGCAGGCAGCAGTGGATGGTAGTAGCTGGCATTCACCCTTGCCTGCAACCCGGACCAAGACCTTTTTGAATGCAGTTCCATT